AATAGAGGCACAGGCATTAAGGCAGCGACTTAATAGAAAAAGGAATTCAGGCCTGCAAAGCAGCATGGCAAGCTCCACACCAGGCTGCATCTCCCATCCTCTCTATAATAGAATGTGGAACTGACATTGGGAAAACAATACTTTGAGAGAAGGAAATGCACAAGCAGTCTATCTGACCAGCCCCTCGCTGTTACAAAGTGGACTGGACAGAGTAGCAGGACTCCAGCAACCTCATTTCCTTCGATGTGAGCTACTGCTGGAGACAATTTTAAACTTTCCTCATCTACAACATGCTGTCTCAGGCAGCGCTCCTCCCTCCTATCTCTTCTTTTCCTTTTCCATCTAGTGCCTGAAAAGTGTCCTGAGGGTTTGACAGTTTCTAATTTAATCATTTCATCCTTCTGTATGGAAGACTGCTGAGCACCATACAGTGAAGTAACTATGAGCCTGGAATTTCTGAATATCTGCCTGTCCTCTTACCTGCTTTAGTGCCAGACTCTTGATATCCAACTCCCCTCACACAGTGTCTGTGATGCTGTAATAAATAGAAGTTCCAAATAATTCTTTTTGCTGTGGAAAATAAAGGCTACATTTGCCACCACACACACAAAAAAAAACCATCTGTAGAGAAAAATTGTTTCCTAAGGATTCTTTTAGCAAAAAGTCTACTAGGAGTTTAGTTATTAAAACTAGCACTGGATTATAAAGCAGGAGCAGGACTAAGAAATACCCATTTTATTTAGCCTTGGAGGACACAATTCAATTCCCAGCTAGCTGCATTCTTCAATGCACCATTTTTTAAATGGGCCTCTAAAAACAGTTTGGCTATACTTTGTCCTTCACAAAAGCAGACTTTTAAAGTAAACAAATAAATGCTTTCATTAATGCCCGGCCAAATGCTCAGATGTGATGAGTCCTTTACTACTAGTCCTTTAAAAAAATGCAGGCACTCAATGAGGCATAATTTTGAATTATTGCCACTCATCAATTCTGTCAGTTTGTTCCCTACTAGGGTTCCATGAGTGATTTATTTTTCCATTAGAGATCCCTAGCAGTTCCATGAATTATTTAGAATGAGCCTAAAGTTCATTTTTAGGACTCCTGGGTGAATTAAAACATTTCCACATATATTTAGTTAATATCACAAGCACTCGAGTCCTGACCATGTGAAAGATAATTAAGCAAACATGAGGCAAAGCAGAGCATAAGCACAGCCATACGCCTCCTCAGTGCTGCCCTAAGCTGAAAGTAAGTGGACTTCATTCCTTCCACTGTCACACAGCACTCTGACTGCCCATGGGTACAAGAACATACATACGCTTAACTAAAAAGACAACACCACCCTATAAAGCTGCACCCTCCATGCACCCATGGCAACTCTTCTGTGCACTCATATCCCACAGAAATCTGACATACAGAAGTCCAGCTCTTCTGTCACTAACTGTACAACATTCTGTGATCAGAGAGCAACAGCCAAGTAGGCTGCTGATGCTGAGGAACCATCCATCTCCTCATACTGCAGTCATGGCCTTCCTGTGATGGAAAGCTGCAGAGCTCATATGTCTCAGGCAGAAGAGTAAGGAAACATGACCTTTAGACTCAAAAAGCAGAATTATACCACAAGTGGTACTCTAACAGCCACTGACTGTATTAGAGCCTTGGAGGTACTTAATCACTTACCACTGATCAGTGAGGCTATCTTCCCACATCTTCAGCAGGAAATAATCATATACCTCAACCACTAGAATACCAATAGCTTTCTGCTCTTTTTAAGCTTTAAATACTTCTGATATTCCTCTTAAATATGTTTGGTAGTAATCACCCTTCAAAGTTTCAGGAATTACACTATCTTCTTCCAGGCTCAGTCTGCATGTCAGCACATTAGAGATCATTGTCATCAGTCATTTTCCAAACATGTTGGGAATCTACTATTAGAAACATTAACAATGGGATTTCACAGATGTAGGTCACGTGCTTTCAGTAAAGAACTGGCAGTCACTGGTAATGGGGAAAAATATACTAATTCCTTAATAACTTGCCCAGAGAGGTTGTGGATGCCCCGTCCCTGGAGGTGTTCAAGGCCAGTTTGGATGGGGCTCTGGGCAGCTTAGTCTAGTACTAGATATATAGGCTGGTGGCCATGCATATGGCAGGGAGGGTTGGAGCTTAATGACCCCTGAGGTACCTTCCAACCCAAGCCATTCTATGATTCTCTGATTATCCCTTAATTAAACAAGGTACTTTAAGTACTGAATGCTGAGCAATGCTCCGGCACGCAATCATCATAACCCTACGAAATCATGCTGAAATATTAGGGCTCCATCTGAGCACTTCTTAGCCAAGGCTCCTTGCCTTAACAGATGGAGCTGTTCTGCTGTTTCCATGCTTACACATTCAGCCCATAAATTTGAACTGAATCCTCTGCTTTTATCAGAAAAGTCACATCAGATAGGATGCTGTTATCTTTATATCCTTCTGAGGTATGACAAACAGAAAGACAAGGCTGTCTGCTATGTTTAAAATAGGCAAATAATAGCTGAAATTGTTGATAGAAATATTTAAGAGCTACAGAATACTAGCTGAGGTCAAGTAGGACAACCAGTCCCAAGACATTTATATCATCTTGAAGTAGTGTTGATCCTCATTACATGGATTTCCCAGCTCACAGTAATGCATCATCTAAATCCCAAAGGCACTGCACACACCAAGAATCAACATGCCAAAAAAACAATGTTTTAGTTATGAGCTGAATTTCAAAACTCACAAAGAACTGGTGAATACAGGTAGAGATAATATTATGAGGTTGCTCTGCATAGCCACCCATGAGGGGAAACTGGCAAGGAGCAGAATATGTCAGGTCCAGACTGGTCTTCCCTCTCTGAAGCAATACAGAGTGGTTTTAACAGAACCTAGGAGTGGGGCCAAATTAGATTTGGCTTCTGAATGCAGTCTGATGATAAGTTTCAACACTAGATATTAATATTAATGGAACATTTTGAGAAAATACTGTCCAGAACCTGAATAGGATATAAAGAGAAAAGACCAGTAATAAAGCTCTGTTGTAGTCAGCACAAACACACACATGTTGATTTCTGCTCAGGCGGCAAAACTACCCCAAGTTTGTAACTTCCACAGAATATGTCCCTTAGAAAGGCAGGGAAGAGTTACTTCTCTTAGTAAATCAGTATAACAGCATCAGAATATGATTCTCAGAGAATCGGATCGTCATAAAGAAACCAATCCCATTAAGTTTAACTCCAGCCTTCCAGTTGGGATGTTTCAAACTTCTCTGTGGATTCAGTAACTTTCAACAGAAGAATGATAATCACCATTTTAAAACAGCTCCTAAGCTTTCAAAACCTACAGTTAAATCAAAATCATTATCACATTCTTGTGAATGCACCAAAAGGAACACGTCTTGCTAGTTTGAGACCAAGGGCAGCTAAATGCCCAGGTCATCTGAGTTACTTTTTGTACTCTGAGTTTGATGGTGCGTGGTCCTGAATCCACAGTTCTGACACAGAAGAGTCTCTTAAGTATGACTTTGTTAAAATTGAACTTTCTGAAGGTACAGCATATTTAAATAAAATTAAATTCCCTCTCAGTGTTCTGATCAGCTCTCTGCACAGTTACACATTCTGATACTTTTCCCCTGCTGGCAATCTACATTCACATCTCATGCTGCTTAAAGCGCAGATCAAAACCTTTCCTCAGCCACAGACTTTCAGAAGTTTGTTCACTCTTTCCCTTAAAGCTGAGTTTTTTTAAATGAAAAACTTGAGTTATGCTAAGCAATGAAAACTTTGATAGCTGAAAGTCTAAATACCAAAATAAAACAACAGATAAGTGATTCTCATCATGGCTTCTTTATGATTCCTTAAAAGCATAGGTCTACAGCAGTGCTAGGTTTAATTGTATAGGAAACCACTGTCTTGCCTGCCTCTTTACTAAAATGCCAGGATATACAAATGAAGGCTACCTCACATCCCTTTCTGTTACTCTCATGAGCACAGAGTAAGTATTTCAATCAATTTGTGAAGCACTTTTCCCCAGACTATATGGTTGGTATTATGCTGAAATTCCAAACTGGAAAAAAAATGGATACAGAAATAAGTGGGCAGAGTGGATGTAATGCTATAATACAATGGAAAGTGCAGCAATGATATTAAGGTTGCAAAGTCCTAGACTGCAGCAAGTGAGGACATGCTCAAATGCAACAGTCCTGAGCACAGAAACAAAGGAAAAGAATCTGCTTACCCTTAGAAGGCCTCAGGTAGGCAAGGATCTCCAGCAAGATCCCCTTGCCTCCACTGCCAACTCTTAAATGAGTTCTGGGAAGGAGTGGATCCTGGCTCCACCCCTTCCAGGCACTCATGGCATGCATCTGAGCTCCCCTGGGTTGGCCCTGCCTTCCCACCAGGTGTTCAGTTACTGCTTCAAGCTGTGACTTAGTATTTCTGCTACAGTGGAACAAACTCAACAGTGCAGATAGAAATATTGACGGAGAGTAAATGTAGATTGGAATTTGCAAGCAGAAGTTGATGTAGTATAACATGTAATGGCATCAGATAAGCAGACCTGTATGAAAATTTAACTTCCACAGCATAGAACTAATTTCCATGTCCTTAAGACTTACAACAAATACGAAGTAGTAAATTCTAAATTAAATATTTTGAGTATGACTTTTCCATTTGTAGTTATTGCCAAACTGGTTATCTGAGGTAAGTACATTAGAAGAACTTGCCAATTTTGATACTCAGGCTCTCTCATTTAAGTCAATTCTGTATGAATATTTAGTATTTACACCTGAAGATGTAATACATCTTTCAAAATCTGCAAAAATTATACTCTGTTATGTTGAGCTAAGTGCTAAATTGTTACAGCAATACCTGGATGGAATTTTGATCTCTCTGCTAACAGATTCAATCTGCTTGTAGTCCTAGATGGCACATGTAAGTACCTAGCAACATCTTTCTTCTAGTCTTTTGTATTTATCTTACCTTTAATGCACCGTGCTTCTCATTAGCTCCAACAATCAAAATTTCTGCCATATCCTCAGCATGCTCAGATCGTGCGTGGACAAACAAAGCTCTGCCAGCTTCTGATACATTCTTCAGTGCAACTAAAGACCCGTCGTGTTCCACCTTAAAGTCTGGGTTAGAAACTTCGAAGTTCAATTTGTTATTCCCCTTGCAGTCATCAAACACCACTGGGGAAGAAAAGAAATAAAAAGAAAAATGAGAAAACCTAAGTTGAAGTATCCACTTTGGAATACAGACTTCAGAAGTTTTCACGTTGTTGGCTTATGTACAGATCTCATGGAGAAATGGCTCCAATCTAAGGGAATACTTTCAAACATTATACTTGCATGGCTATAATATTTCATAGACAATCTTATGAGTATGCAATTTCAGAAAGATGAGGAGATTTTGGCCATACTAACTGGGGAAGGAGGAAATAAACTCACATTAGACATGAACATTTTCTGATCACTCAAAAGCACAAAATGCACACCTAATTCTACAAACTGGGCGACACCAATAGTGGCCTTGCTGTTCTCCCCATTCACTGTAACAAGTGAGATGAGATGTAAAGGCTCTTCTGCTGCCCAAGTGGTTTCAGATATCCAATGTATTTTTCTTTAGTTTTGCTGTTGGCGGTTTGCAAAATATGCAATTTTACATTCTACTGCAAAAGTGTTACATAATTAAAAAAAAAAATTATAGTATTTCTTAATATTCTTATTAACCACCTGTAGCATGATGCATGAGCTGCACTACCAATATAGCCGAGAAGAACTCTTACTTAAAAAACAGCTTTCAAAAACCTGTTTCACTTTACATGAAGTACTTACGATATTTATGAAAACCAACAGAGAGAGAAAAACATCCCTAAAGATAAAGATGTGACACTGCCTCATGTTCCTTCTCTGAGCCCAGTAGATTCACTTTGCTCAAAACACTGCCATAAACATTACTGGTGTAATTACAGCCATATGATTAAGAGGTCTTCACAAACTTCTAATTTCTAAGCAAACTCCTCCTGTTTTGACATCTGAATGACGTATTTATATGTGTGCTGCTTTTTTTTTCCCCTAGACGACTTGTTCTATATTTATTACCTGTTCCTCAAGTTACTGTGCTGTAGAATTTTGCTTATCTGTATGCTCCTGCTATTTTAGTTCTACATTTCGATTCCACTGCGCCTTTAAAAGCTGCCTTACAGACAGGGATACAGACTAGAGATGATCAAAGACAATAGTTTTACTGAAAACAAAGCACTTTTAGTAATTTTTAAAATTCGTTGTATGGGTTATTTTGTTCTGTCTGATCGGTATTTTTAAAGGGAAAAAAAGTAAATCCTAGATTCTCTCACAGCTTGGCTAAATCCTAGAGGTAAAACATGTTCTCATAGTGGATGGCCACACATTTGCCACTTCATTGAATTTTGCTGAAAGCAAGAGAGATTATAAATAAAAAAAGAAGCCAGAAGGATTTTGATGGAAGGTTCTTTGTTGGCAAGGCCTCCCCGGTGTTAAACCACCCCTTGCAGCTGATGTCGGTGATATGACAGGCATTTAACAGATTCTCTGTAATCTCCTAAAGCTATCAGCCCACTAAAAGACAAAATTTCTCTGTTACCACAGATGTGAGAAATTGAAATTCTCTATGCTAATCACTGTATAGATTACAGTCTTGATGAATTATGAGTGGATTCTCATTTAACTTATTCTTCTCCACCCTTTAAAAAACAATGGCACAGTGCCTTTGGCAGGTACCTTGTTATACTGAATCAGCCTGTACTTCTCACAGTCCAAAGCTGCTGTTGACCTAGTGGTCTATTAATAGCACACAACTGGAAGATTTGGCATCTCTAGTTGACAAATTCATCACGTCTAGAATAAGATGTCTCTCAGCAAAGCTTAAATAAAAGAATAGAAAGCCTAACAACTATGACAGAGTAACAATTTAAAACCAAATGTCAGAGTTTGGAGTGATAGGATGGCCAAATAGTACAAGACACAGTCAGAAAGCAGCCGCTCTCTGTTGGGAGCACACCTCTCCCACCTTGCTGCTCAGCATCACATTTCTTGAGGCACTTGCATTGCTGCCATCTGCATGCATTCTGCAAATTCAAAGGCCACATGCAGAGCTGACACATGGAATTAAAAGAGGTAGTTGAATGTATATTTTACATTCACTTGGAGTTATGAATTTGAAACTTTCAGACCTTCTATATTTGCTCGTACATTGGTTATGAAACTCTGCACTTTTTCCAACAAAGAGCAGAAGTGAACTTGCTTAAAAGTGAGAAACTTTTCTTACCATATCTCATCCAAAAGCACTGATGCTTTCAATTCCCAAGTCTACCACAGAAACGAAGGTATTTGACAAGGTTAGTAGCAAGGAGAAGGAAAGAAAATGAAAGGGCTATAAGAAATAGTGATATGTAGGAGAGAAATTAGAAGTGGATGGAAGGAGATGAAGCGATCATAAGGACAGAGAACACTGAAGATTATGTGGACCAGGGGCCAACAGAGATGAAGTTGAAGCAAACTGTTAAATTATTATGAGAGTTGAAAAGAAATGTAGCCTTAGATAAAATCTCTATTCTGAAGTGAGAGGCAAATGAGAACTTTATGAAAGCAATGATGCCTTCTGGATCGGGATTACCTGGGAACATCACGGGAGATTGTATTAAATTCCAAATAATTCTCACAGTGCCCCTCACCAGGAACACCTGCATCTTTAAACTCATGCTGATTCTGGGAAAAAGCCAATGAAGATATCCAAACTTGTACACGAGCTGTCTGTACCAAGCTCCAGTACCAGCTACGTGGCCTATGGAGCTTGTCCTGACACCAGCCACACTTCCCTGCCCTGCCAGACACGCGAATGAGACCTGTAGACTTTCAGCTTTAGTAGCTAGCTCAGATTCTAATCACTTATCCTACTGTTCCAGCTAGGTGAATGCTGAGCTAGGTTTGATGCTGGAAAGAGCCTGGAATCTCTGCTAGGACTGATGGAAACTTGGGCATGGGACTGAGATATTCTGAAACCAATGTGAACAAGCACATGGAAGAAGAAAGGAAATATCTCAGAGAGCTCCACTGAGAAAAAGTGTGATCTACGTTGCTATTATATTTCTCTTTTCAGAAATAAAACATGCCATTACAAACAGTTGTCTTAATAAGAACTTTTCAGATTAATATTTAAACAGTGCCCAAATAACAAAAAATAAAAGTAGTTACCAAAGTCTGTGTCAGTTGAATGGATTTGCTCTAAGGAGTCTGCTAAGGGGAGAGAGGAAACAAAACCATCTGGCAGTCTAACATGAAAATGTTGTCTCCCAGTATATAACATTTTGCTGCCTGACAACCATGATGACATATATTTATGATGTATTATGTTTGTGATGTTCGTGTGCTTCTCGCAGAGATTAGGTATGAGGAAAACCATGGGACAGATGACTGACATTATTCATACTATCCATCTGCAGTATAACGGATTGGATGAACAGTAACCTGTTGAGCATCCATATGCACTAAATCTTCCCACAGCCTCTTACACACTCACTTGGTGTCAGAGCTTAAGAAGTTTAGCTAGACTGTAGGCTTTCCAGAGCAAAGACCACTTGCTTCCTCTGCATCTGTAGAGCACTTGAAAAAAAATTATTTATGGTTGCTGCTCCAGGTGCTGCAGAAGGGCAAAAAATTAATAATAGGAGCTGTTCTGCTATAGTCATAAACTAGAATTTTGGAAATGCTGTAGCAGATGACTACAAAGTGACTGTGTCTCATTGTCAAGAACTCAATAGGCAATTAAAAGAAATGATCTAATGTTTATTTACATGAAGGAAGAATTCTTAATTTATTGATGCATATATGACTCTTCTGATGTTGCTAGTCATGCTCCAGCTGCCAAATGAACATCTTTATTGTGCTTAATATGCCATATGGTAAGAGACAGGCTCCAAAACTCCATACAAGCAAAATGAAAATACTGCCAAGCGTCTCCCAATGAAAAACAACATTCATGTCACTCATTTTTCTCTGTTCATTTCTCAGCCTCCTGTACTAGACTTCTACTGCTTTCTGTAAGAAAGTGTGTGAGATGTTCAAAATATTTCTGCCCACTTTGGTCACTGACTTTGAGCTTATCAGAATCAAGGCAACTACAAAGAGGATTCTTCTGTAAGACCTCAAATCCATATTGTAATGGTGAAAAGCCAAAGCTGTGATTTGAAATACTACCTTTAAAAGACCTCAGCAAGAAATTTCAAGTTCCCAGTATTGATCTTTCAGTGCACCCTATTGTCATGATATGCCACATAGGTTTCTGTACAACTGCAAATGTTTTAAAGAGCACCATTTTAAAATATTGGAAGATTAACAGTTGGACCTCTCTTGTAAACTATGTAAGAAGAAAAAATGCCAAAATCTTATATCCAAATGCACATTACACTGATATATTCCTCTTTCAAAGTCATTTTTTTCAAAGTTTAATTTGATTCTCAGAAGTTTAATTTGTTTTCAACAGAAATACAGAATCCGTAATTTTCTCTCTGACAAAATCTCTACAGAGGTATTTTGAATAATTAAATACACACATTTATCTATAAACACACAGAACTTACTCCGTATGTCTCTCTATATATGCACACAAGTTTTTATGTTAGCTAATGATGGCTAGCAACAAAACAGGTCTTTAAGTGAGGAAATTTCACATTGAAAATACATACCAAAAACAGATTCTTAATTATTATGTCAATGAATGTTAGGATCCTTTTTGTAAATACAGTCTAGCCTTGTTCAAATCAGTGGGATTTATAGTATCAACATTATTTTATCCTACATTGTTCTTTTTTAATCTATTTTAAGACGTAACTTCAGATTGAAAGATCAAATTGAAATGATGAGTCGTTTTCTACTACAGAAAGCTGTAGCTGATAGGGGTCTAGAGAGGTGAGAAAAGTATGTTACAGCTGCACAAAGGCAAGTTAACTTTCCAGCCCAGCAGGGAACCCTCATCTGGGCTGAAAAGTCTTCCCTGATCAAAGATATTAGCAAAATACAAAAGTTAGACAGAAACTATTAAACAGACAGTTGATCTTCATTAGCTACATAGAGAAAAGTGGTGGTTGAAGGAAATAGAAATGCTCCTGAGTGCTGGAGTATATAAAAATTCACAAAGTGCCATGACTTACCAA